TTATTATATTATTATTAATATAATAAATATAATTATATCAATACAATATAATATAAAATATATTATAAAATAATAATTACAATATCATATTATAATTATATGATAATTATAATATCATATTATTTAAATAATTATAATATTATTATAATATCATATTATATGATAAAATAATAATATTAGAGTTATTAATATAATTATGATATTGTTTGTTACAATATTACTATTATATTATATTATATTACGACTTTGAATTTTAGATTGAAAAGATTATAAATTTTAAATTTCATTAGGGGTATTATGAGTATTATGAAAGTTTCATTAATTATACTATGCTGATTTTCGCACAATCTAAAAACTAAGTTGTCTTTAGACTGCTTCTGATTTTAGCTGTAGATTCTTAAAAAATTCTTCAAAAAACACTTTTAAGAATATTTATTAAATACTAAAATCAACTTCTGCTACAAGCAGAAGTCAATTTTGGGAGGAAAAAATAACACCATACTAAGCCTTCACCGATATCCTTCACGTTCTCAATATCTTTGATGAAGGAGTATGAACACTAATTCACATTCTCAATATCTTCGCTGAAGAAGTATGAACACTACAAGCAAAAGTCAATTTTGAGAGGAAAAAATAACACCATACTAAGCCTTCACCGATATCCTTCACGTTCTCAATATCTTCGATGAAGGAGTATGAACACTAATTCTCAATATCTTCGCTGAAGAAGTATGAACACTAATCTTGAACTTTTGTCAAGATAAGATAGTTTCACTTGATTGCATCTTAAAAGGTTTTCATTATAAAATATTTTACTAATTGAGATGCTAAGAGTAAATGTTGCTCACATTCTCTGAGAAGAGAAAAGGAATGAGTTTAAGAAAAAGCTGGAGCAAGGAAAACAGAAGATCAAGGCCTCCTTATTATAATGAGTTTTCTTAATTTTTTTCTTTTTCTCCTCTCAAACTAGAATATTCTCTCCTTTAACTTTTCACAGCATTTTCTTTATGAAAAAGAATAGACGAGAAGCTTTATAAATTTATAAAGATTAATGACATGTTTAATCCGTTGATTTGAGTTTTTAATTTGAATTAAAATATAATTTTATATGAGAATTTTTTACTGTAGTAAAAAAAATTAAATGTGATTATTTCTAAGAGCGTTTTACTATAATAAAACTCAAATTTTAAACTTAAATTTATGAAATAAGCGGAGCTTAAAACTATATTTTTTCTACATGTAAAATGGGTCGCATCTATAAACAAAATAAGAAATAACATTATTAGCTAAACAATATGATATAGACTTCTCTTGAGAAGAAACGTAGGGCTTGTCTCGTTCGTTTCGCTGATTCGAGTTTAGAATTCAAGTTTTGTTACAATAAAAAGCTCTCACAAATAATCACATCTAACTTTTTTGCTACAGTAAAAAGCTCTCACATAAATCACATCTCAACTCGAATCAGCGAAACGAACGAGGCCAGCTGTGTAGATTTTGAGTTGAGTTTGTGTTATAACTTGAGTTGAAGTTGTAACTTGAGTTTGTGTTTGATTGTGTACATTTGAGTTATGATTTGAGATAATAATCTTTTTTGAGTTTGTGTTTGAGTAAGTCAAAACTTGAATTTATTTTTAGATAGTATTTTAATAAAAACTCAATGCTGATGAAAAATGTTAATAAGGTATATGGGTCTAGTTTTATTCGCCTTTTCATTGTCAACGCATAGAAAAAAAAATTATCTCAATCAGAATTAAAACGAAAAAGTTATAGCATTTTTAAGAATAGAAAAAATATTGTTCATTAACATGAATTCGACTTTCTGAACTCGAATTGAAGGAGAAACTTGGTCCCGTTTATTTCGCTGATTCGAGTTTAGAATTCAAGTTTTTCTACAGTAAAAAGCTCTCACAAATAATCACATCTAACTTTTTTACTACAGTAAAAAGCTCTCACATAAAATCACATCTCAACTCGAATTCTAAACTCAAATCAGCGAAGTGAACGAGGCCGCTCGAGTTTTAATTTCAAACTCGAGTTCAAACTTAAGTTCAAACTTAAAAGAATTTGAACTCGAATAAAATTATAACTTGAGTTGCATTTTTTTGAATTTTTCACTCAAAAATTAGCTCCCTGAACAGCCCCGCAGTAAACATCACCATCGTGAGCTAATACTGCCTTTGTACCTTCTTGTTTTGTTGGACTGTTGAGTTCTAATAAGAATTGATCTGGACTGTTGATCAGATAGAAAAAATATTGACCTTTACATTTTAATAATACCACATGTATAATTAAAATCGTATTATTTATAAATTTTTTAAAAATAATAACAAAAATGTCAAATTCGCTAAAATCTCGAATCTTATAAGTTTATGCGAAAAAATATCAATCAAAACCCAAACCACCCAGCATCATCACTCCGCAACAGCCCACCACCATGCTAATATCCATTCCAAGTTCCAACCTCAAATTGGTACATGCTCCAAATTGTCTGCCTTAAATTTTAGGATCTGATAATTAGGAATTGAAAATTAGTAATTTCCAGTGTTAGAAAATTTGCTATTGTTTGTTTAGTTGATAAAGTATTCCAATCTTGTAAGTAAATTTTTTTGATTTTTCTAAATACATAATGGTGAGGTATTGGTTGTGCATAATGTTGCTGTTGATGGTATCACGTTTGAAGAATTTGTTGAAAATAATTTGTGTTATGGGCAAGTGATGGTGAGGTTATGGAAGATTGACTTGTTATTTGCGATTTTTTGTTGTTTTTAGGGAGAAAAAAAAAAGTTAACCATGAAAATCGATAAATTCAAATCAAATCAAACTAAATCGTTAATTAATTTAAATTATTAAGCGATTTGAACAGTTTTTAATAACAATTTTGAACGATGATGTTTGGTTAAAAAGCCGTCTAAAGTACAAACTGACAAAAAAATATTGTATTTTTTCATCAATGTTATTTTTTTGTTGGTCAATATAAAATAAATTCTAAACTAGTGAAATGCACCCGACCACTCTAAATAAGTAAACGTACATTCGGCCCTGGTCTCCTAAGTCTAACAACTCACTCCCTCCTCTCTTTGCTGTGCTGTAGCTGTTGATCCCACCTCGTCGCAACGCTGCCATGCCGCCCTGTGCCCATGCCGCCGCCGTGGTGCTCACCTCCTAAATTTGGTTTGTTCCAAGCTTGATCATCTTCTTTGTTTTGCGTATTTTCTTGAAGTTAAAATAAAAAATTAACTTTATTGCTTAAGAAATTTGGAGTCTTGGGCATCTAGTTCCTTGGTGTTAAAATAAAAAATTTACTTTATTGCTCAATCTGGTTTGATTGGTTAGATTGATGGGCGTGGAAGTTGTTAGTTTGAAACACTTATAGTTAAATTATAGTCCTTTTTTCCACTAAAGGTTGGAATATTTGCATATCTGGGTATTGGATTTTTGTGAAATCTGTTGTTGACAGATTTTTGCAAGTTTTATGATACGGATGATCTATAGCTTGTGGTTTGAGAGATATATAACTCATTTTAGTTTAGTCTTTCTTGTCCGTTGAAATCTGTGGGTTAATTTTGAATTTTGTGACCAATTCTGTCGACGCAGCTTTATTGACATGTGGCTATGGATGTTTTACGTCAGTGGCTTCATACTAAATTACTAATATGATCTTAAGTTTTTACTTTTTCATTTTTTTTATCACATAGTACACCTAAACTTTCTTTAAATTTATAAAATTACATTCAGAAAAATCAATAACAATTAAATTCTAATAGCTAAAGGACAATAGAAAATTATGTTTGGTTTGAGGATTCAAATCATAATTTGAATCATGATTCATGATTCGTTACAGTGTTTTTTCTCACAAAAAATACACGTAAATCGAAAATAATTTTAATTACATGATTCTAATCTATGAACCAAACGTCTCCTAAAAATTTGAGATACAAAATCATGTAACCTAATTTAAAAAATGACTGAGTTTTACTTTTTATATGCCAATCTTATATCTCAAACTTTCAATTTGACAACAATATTTACTTAAAAGTTTTATGGTATAATTTACCAATATTAAAAAGTTTGGGGCTTGTTATGCAAAAAAGGAAAAATTCAAGGTTCAAGTGCAATATTGCAATTCCTTTAAAACGGTACTTTATACGACGTCGTACTTTTCCCCAACTTCCCTCATTCTTAACCCCAGCGCCGTCTTCATCCCACCCTCTCTGTTGTTGCTCCTCCGCTACAAAAATCCGGAAATGACGTTGACGATGCAGACGCTAAGGAGCTCCAGAGGCAACGTCGCTAGCCTGTTGGGCCTCAGATGGGCCCACGGCGCGGCTCTTCCTGCACCGTTGGATGGGATCATCTCCCGCAGTATCGCATTGCCGCCGTTGGTTTTGCCGGAGTTTGATCGTCCGTCGCCGGAGGATTCGAACAATAGCGGAAACATCGGCTTCGGCTTCCCGAGTTTCTCGTCCGGTGGGTCCATGGAGCTCATGGCTGTTCCCAAGAGAAAGGTGCTTCATTTTGTAAATTTTACTTTTAAAAAAAAAATTTTAGGGATTTTAGGTTTGTCGGGATTTAGGTACGGAAGTGACTGAGGTCTTCTTTTGGTGCAGGTTTCTCCTCACAAGAGGGGCATAAGAAACGGTCCGAAAGCTCTCAAGCCTACTCCAGTTATAATTCGTTGCAAGTAAGGATTTTTTTTTTTTTTTTGGTTGTTGTTGCTAGAATTGCAAGTAAGGATTTTGCTTGTTATTTTAATTTACCCATTTTTTATTGGGAGCTTTTAAACGTTTAGCAACTGTTTTGTTCAAGATCATGGTGGATACATATTCACTCCTGTTTGGGTTTGATTCAACGTTTCTGAAAATGCAGATTCAGTTGTTTTTTTCTTTCTCCATTTATGTTGATTTCAAACTGCTGTTATGTTTTGGTATAAATATCATATGGAAAGAGTTTGAAAGGCAGAGATATGATATGATAAAATTATAGAAAGAATGCTTTTTGAAACTGTCATTGCATAATGTGGCATTCATCAAATTTGATTTCATTTTATTTTTTTCATATGCTTATGGAGTTCTTTGGTGTATGAGTGAGAAATTAGGCTTCTTATGCGCCTAAATATGCTGTAGTGTTGTTTGTTATGACTAATGTTTGTATATGTTGATGACTAAATAATATATACACATATGTGTGTGTTCTGGCAACTAATTATTTGGTATAGAGTTTGATATCTTATCTATCAAATTTTGTTGCAGAAGCTGTGGTCGAGTCAAATTGCCACACTTCTATTGTTGCAGTGGAGACAGGGGAAATACCGGTGAGCGAGATGCTTCCACAAGATGAGCAAGTCTTCTGCTACATATAAAGCAAAAACCTGTGTGTTCTTTTGTAGAACAAGAAATTTTCAATTTAATAAGGATTGTATTGGATCTTTGTTGGAACATAAAAAATCTAGCTTGTATTAGAGAGTTTTCAGTTTTTCTTGTAGAAATACTTGGTGGGATGAAAGAGCTTGTGCTCTCTTTTTTCTGGGAACAGTTTACCATTGCACCTAGAGTAGGAATTGCAGTTGATGAGATGAGAAAATTCAGAGAAATTATTGGAAATTAATATACAGTTGTGGTGATTCTGAGTACTTGTTTTGTGTAGATGGATGTTCTTGCGTTGGAACCTTTACTTGGTGCAACTTTTATCGCCCGTGTTGTGTTCGGCTGAAAAGATTGTTACTTTTTACTCTAGCAATTGATGATTGTATTCTCATAAATTTATTGCCTTATGGTTCCATGAGACTCGTTTAGTTCGTTGATTTGAGTTGAGATATGACTTTATATGAGAATTTTTTACTGTAACAAAAAAGTTAAATGTGACTGTTTCTGAGAGTTTTTTACTATAGCAAACTTAAATTCTAAACTCAAATTGGTAAAATGAACGGAGATCTTAGGAATTTAGGTGAAGAGTCGGGTTAGTGCTGCTTCTATATCCAACTGATTAGTGGAAAAGTGAGGATATCCAACTATCTAGACGATATAGTGTTATCCTTATATTTTGATTTTCCTTTTTGGTCATCCATTTCAAAATCTTGTTTGAATCGGGAAGAATATAGGCACGATCTAGTCCTAAAACCAGCGAGTGATAATTAATTTTTAGTTGCATATGAAGAATACTCTTAGGGTCCGTTTAGTTCGTTGATTCGAATTTTTAATTTGAGTTGAGATATGATTTTATGTGAGTTTTTTACTGTAGTAAAAAAGTTAGACATAATTGTTTCTGAGAGCTTTTTACTATAACAAAACTTGAATTTTAAACTCAAATCGGTGAAATAAACAATATCTTAAACTATTAGAATAAAATTTTTATTATACAAAAATTTAGTAGGGTCAAATATAACTGTCCAAAAATTTTGAGGTTCTAATAATTTCTTTTTTTTTTTAAATCATGTTTTTTACCCTAAATTTTTGAAAATTAAAATTTGACTTCTCAATTTTTATAAAATAACAAATGCATCCCTCAACTTTTAGAAAATTATTAATTTAATCTCTTATTTTTTGAAATTAAAATTTGGCACCTTAATTATTATACACTTTTGACCCAAAGTTTACAAAAAATTGCAAAAACACCCCTATTGGCTGATAAATAAATAATTTACACAATAAATTCGTCATTTACCACATAAGCTATAAATATTGGCCAGTAAATATCGGATTACTCATCCTTAAATGGTAGATTTTGTATTTATCAACATCATATTTGTTTTTTTAGGTTGTAATTGAAGCATTTACTAAGTAAATGACTAAATTCTTTATTTATCGTATTTTTAGTTGGTAAATGAAACATTTGCTGGATAAATTCCTCATTTAACGCTTCTTGAGTTAATAAATGCTTCATTTACCAAGTAAATTTGTTATTTACCTAAATTATTGACTTGTAAATAAAGGATTACTAGAATAATTTGTAAATGATCGATTGACCCAATAAATGATTTATTTACCTCATTTACCATATCTTTTTAAAAGTACATATACCATTTTAATATTATTAAAAACACATAGTACAAACGAGATTTTCGAGTAACATAAGATATCAAAATGATTTTATTCCAATTAAGAAACACTTATCTCATAACTAACAACGTTGCAAACGGAACATGGATTATGACAACATCTCTTACAGACAAGATTCATAAAAGCCAACATACATCGATTTCTATTAAATTTTTAATATCTTATTAGAAACAACAACAATTTATGTTAACCGGAAACGACAACATTCTGTTACATAAAAGACACAACATTTCATAAAAACGACAGTTACAGTCAAATGAAAATATCATTAGTTGTTTTTTTTTTTCCTACAATATTTCAGGAACTACAACGTCTACTAGCGACAGCATATAAAATGACAACATAGTTTAGTAAAACATCAAAAACGACATGATTCTCTTAGAAACCTTTTTTTTTTTTTGGTTAAAGAATTCTCTTAAAAACTTGAACAGCCAAAGATGTTAGCACACATGTTGGTTGAACTGGTTGATGTTATCTTACCGACTGTCTTCAAATCTGTCTTTGATAGTGCACGTCAAATATAAGCTGAAAACAAAGCTGATCTCTCTCACATACAAGGCGTCCTTGGACGGTGACACGTGTCAATTAGCGTTAGTCCACACAAGCCACATTGTGTTCTAACTGCAGGCAATAAATATGAGTTGCACTACCATGGTTTTCAGATCACTAAGCGTGAATTTTTGCTGTCCAATAAGGTGACAACGTTTGTGTATCTAATGCAACACAATGAAGCTCATTGGTGAGTTCTACGTGGATATAGTAGACCTGAGCTGCACTTGATTTTTGAGCTTTACCATATAAATCAGTGTGACAGTCACAAAGAGCTCACATGTAATGAATATTTAGTGTCTATTTTTCCAATTCTTCCTATTAGAAACAGATTTACTGGCGGTTTCAGTTTCAAGTCTCTGAAATTCCCTCTTGAGATTGCCAAAAAGGTATTATCAGATTAATATTTAGCTTTTATATCTTTTATTATTGTTTTTTTTTCTTTTTTGTTGGTTGTTGAGTTTCTATTCAGCTGTCTAATCTTCTTGGTGTTGTGTGTTACTTGTAAGCATCATGCTTAAAAGTTTTCTTGCATGTTGTTGTTTGATATGTTCATTATCTACATTAGAGTTTACACTTTTTTTTAACTGTTTTTTTTTTTTTTTTTTCGTCCTACGTTCTCTTGGGAAGATTAGTGAAGAGCCTTATAACAAACCTGATTATTTAATAACATTTTTTTATTAGATTGAGTTCATTCATTTCTTAGGTTTCTGCTTATTATTGCAAGAGAAATTTGGTAAATTGGGTTTTAGTTTTCTAGGAAAGAAAAGAAACTATTTTTCAAAAGTGAATCATTTTCCTGCCAAGTGATTATTATTATTTTTTTTTTGAAGAAAAAAAATATAAACTGGATTTCTCTTATTGTGTTTTCAATGCGTGTAACATATTAATAAATACTGAAATCCAAACAGGGAAAAGGAAAGATGAAATTTGGGAAATAATTCAAGAAACAAAAAGTGCCGGAATGGATAGAAGCCTATATGGATTACAATGGCCTCAAAATGATATTAAGAAACATTAGGCAAACCAAACCGACCAAACACCCTGTAATGAACAGAACCCTTAGTGGTCTAAACTGCCAATCTAGCAGCAACCACAGTAATAAGGATATTGAGGACCAAGTGATCGACATTAACACGTTACCGCGTGATGGATCTCGACGAATTTTCGAGACCAACTTTCTCAGAAAGTCCGAAGAAGGAGCTGAGATTGAGGTCACATTCTTTAGAAAACTTGATGAGGAGCTCAATAAGGTGAGTGACTTTTACAAGGACAAAGTGGAAGAAGTGATAGATGGAGCAAGTCAGTTGAATAAGCAAATGGAAGCTCGTGTAGCGTTGAGGATAAAGGTTGGAAAACAAGATTTCGAGAGGTCTAATTCAAACAGGTCACATCAGCAAGAACGAACTCAACAATCTTCCGGTGCTTCGAAACATGTTTCGGTTTATGCTAACAGTGGTAGCAGTGGCAGCAGAGAGGAAGTTAAAGTCAATAATAATCAAAATCAAGATCAAGACCGCTTGGAAGTTCTTGAGCACGTAAAGATCAACAGTACAATCCAATCTCCCATATCAACAATAAAAGGCACCTTTAGACACTCCAAGGACGACGAGTTGAGTTTTGGAAAGGAAGATATGAGGAAAGCTGAAGAACAGTTGAAAGTCGCATTTATCGAATTTTACCATAAGCTTTATCTTCTAAAACAATACAGGTGATGAAAAGTGGATTTTCATTTTGGATTCCTTTGTTAACATTTTAGTTCCTTGACTACCATGTGCTCATACTTTTCTGTAATGAACCAGTTTTGTAAACCTCTCAGCATTTTCGAAGATTATGAAGAAGTATGAAAAGGTGCACATAATAATATCCAAAATGGTTCCGTAGAAATTTATTGCTCAATTTTGTGTTATTTTTACAAAAATTGTTCTCTTAACATATGTTCTAGTAAATATTTTTGTATAGTGCAGATCACATCAAGAAGAGCCTATAAATTGTATATGGAAATTGTGGATAACTCTTGTCTTGGAAATTCGGATGAGGTCTGCAAATAATTATCCTTTTTTTAGTTAGTATATTTCTCTCTTACTGTCAAAGTGAATTTGACTTGTATTACATAAAATACCCTCTCTCTTTTTTTATAGTAACTACTTTGACTCAATAGAGAAAAACGGTATCATATACTTCTATCATGTATTCTGTATGCTAGTTTGACTATAGTTTCCATAGATCATTGAACTCTTGGAGAGGGTTGAGACAACCTTCATCAAGAATTTTTCAAACTCGAACCATACAGAAGGAATGAAGTCATTGAGGCCGAAACGGAGAAGAGAAAAGCATAGAGTAACATTTGTCTCAGGTAATGCTATAGGTTGAATTCTTTGCTTCAAACCTTCGTACATTTTTTTTTTTTTTTTTTTCACACACTAAGCAAGTGAGACGAGGATATAATTTGTTGCTTTGGTTATAGGCCTCATTAGTTCTGTGCATCTTGTTATTGTCAGGTTTCTTTTCTGGTTGCACGGTTATGCTACTCGTCGCCATTGTTCTAAGAATAGAATATCAAAAACTATTAAAGAAGGAGGGAATGCAATACATGCAGAGCATATTTCCTCTTTATAGGTAAACACAGACCAATCAAAATCCTTAGAGTCAATACAAACATTTCCATAAGTTTTTACTTCTCTCTAAGTGGAATCCTTGCAGTGTATTTCTATACATCGTCCTACACATGCTCGTATATGCTGCGAACATATATTTCTGGAGAAGATACCGAATCAACAATCCGTTTATATTTGGTTTCAAGAGAGGAACAGAATTGGGCTATCGCGAAGTTTTCCTCCTTAGCACAGGTCTTGCTGTACTTGCCTTGTCTGGTTTTTTGGCAAACTTGCACCTGGACATGAACTCAAGTACCCAAGAATTTAAGAAAGTCACTGAACTGGTTCCTTTGGGCTTGGTTACTGTAAGATTCTAAAAGTAACAAAAATGTCCTCTTTGATATTGCTTTATATTACCATGGAAAAATTCTCTTTCCTCACCATTGTTGTCTAAATATTTCTTCCTTTGCAGCTTGTTCTTCTCATCCTTGTCTGTCCTTTCAACATCTTATACCGATCGAGTCGCTTCTTCTTCATTCGATGTCTGTTTCGCTGTATATTGGCCCCTCTGTACCCTATGACATTCCCGGACTATTTTTTGGCAGACCAGCTTACCAGCCAGGTTTGTCAAAGCTACTTTAGCTTTTAGGCCTTGCAATCATTGATGTATTATAAGTTTGTAGTTCTAATTATTGTATCTTCAGATGCAAGCTTTAAGGAGTTCTGTTTTGTACGTTTGCTATTATGGTTTGGGAGAATACTCTAGGAGGCAGAACAAGTGCCACAAACATGGTGTCTACAACACATTGTACTTTGTTATTGCTATTGTACCATATTGGCTGCGCTTCTTGCAGGTGTGTATTCGCTTTCCGTGTTTTTCTCTTGCAATTACTTTTCCCTCTACTATTCTCTTTCTTGACGCTCGTGGACGTATTTATTGGTCATCTTCTATTTTTGTTGCGGTTTCCGTTGTTTCTTTCATTTGTATTTGAACTGTTGTTTTCATAATTATTTGCCATATTCTTCTTTTATTGTCATTTATCCCATTTCACTTCCATATATAGTTTTTTTTCCGAAACTCCCCTGTGAAATGAATTTCTAGCCTTTTAGATCGAGATTAGATCAATATCTCCAACTTTTCATGGTGTAATGCAAGCTTTGAAAATCACATCTTTGTACATCCTTTTCTTTCAAATTAAGAAAATTCTAACAAATAAGCATATGTGCATGTGTAATGCAGTGCCTCCGTCGTTTATTCGAAGATAAAGATGCAATGCATGGGTACAATGGTTTGACATATCTTTCAACAATTGTAGCAGTTCTTGTTAGAACTGCTTTTGAACTGAAAGGGGGAGTCACTTGGATGGTGTTTGCTCTGATCAGCTCAACTGTTGCAATGATAGTCAATGCATATTGGGACATTGTCTTTGACTGGGGGCTCTTGAGAAGGCATTCAAAGAACATCTATTTAAGAGACAGACTTCTTGTTTCACATAAAAGTGTCTACATTGTTGCTATGGTAAGTGCATCAAGTGATTTAAGTGATGGAGTTTTTGGCACTTTGCCCTCTGAACTTACTCTATTGGTAATTTGCCGTCTGAATTTTTTACTGTGGCAAACTACCCTTTGAGTCTTAATAAAATATGGAGTGCCCCAAATTCATGAATCATGTTTGAGTTTGGGAGGAAACACTGTTAGATACTAGTTCTTAGGTAGTTAATGTCTAAGAGGGGTTTAGTGGGGAGAAAGGAATTAGTTTGGGTTTGGATGTAATTTCTCTGAAATTATGTTAGTGCTGATTTGTCTTGGTTTTGGCTAGGATTAGTAGAATGGTATAAGGAGGGGAGACAAGGGGCTGAATGGGGTATGCTTAGAATTGTGAGGGATTTGGAAAACCTTAAGAGAGTTGGTGGTCACTCGAATACCACCGAATTAGGAGTCCTGGAGTACTCGAATTCTCCCATCTATCCGTTTATTTTCCGTTTAGTAGGGTAATCAGTGTTTGCTAGTGTTGATAATAAAAGAACTTCTTGTTTCCTATTCAATTTCTCTGTAAAATTCGGGTTTGAGTGTGCGTTAGGCTGTGGAAAAGACCAGGTCTCTATCAAACACTCTCATGCATGTGACATGACGTGCTCCGACCACCATATGAAATTTCAGTATTTAAACTCTGTAAAATTCGGGTTTGAGTGTGCGTTAGGCTGTGGAAAAGACCAGGTCTCTATCAAACACTCTCATGCATGTGACATGACGTGCTCCGACCACCATATGAAATTTCAGTATTTAAAAGAGCTCACCTAATGTATACGAGGACGTTTCCATCCAAATTTTGTCGGTTTTCATTTGGGGCCCTAGGTGAAGAGTTAAAAACGACACGTACTCATAATTGATAAGATCATAAGGATGTGTTTTCCGTTAGCTTAATGTTTGCTGTGATCAATCTGATATGTTTGTGGCATTTTGTGACACAGGTCTTGGATATAGTCCTGAGACTTGCTTGGATGCAGTTGATGCTGGCATTTAATCTGCACACCGTCCATAAACTGAGCATAACAACCACTGTGTTCTGCCTAGAAATTATTCGCCGTGGCATTTGGAACTTCTTCAGGTATGATCTTGAGAATCCTCGTCTCTTTGTTTTCAATCTACACTTCAACAAGCAGAAAAGAGAACTTAAATGCCCTTATTACAAGGTTACTTTACATCTTGTGCTTGGTCATTTTATTGAGTTACTGAACAAAATATGCACAATCAATTTGCTCAGGCTGGAGAACGAGCACTTGAACAACGTAGGGAAATACGGCGCTTTTAGATCGGTCCCGCTCCCTTTCTCTTACTATGATGAGAATGACGACAAGGACGATTGATCACAGTCATGAAGAATTTGGCCATTTCTTTGAAAATTATATACAGTATTGAAATCTTATCAATTCTGTTATTTTCAAGAAGGCTTGGAAAACCATCAAAGCCAATATTAATCTCTCATGTCTAGCCGTTCAAATGGTATAGTTGGCGAGTTTGAATTGTTTTATTCTCTGTTATTTTTCAGAAACCGTTGATATCAATACCAAAGTGAGTTTTTTTTTTTTGTTTTTTTGTTTTTTTTAATTGTGAAGCTCAAATTTGTAATAGAAGCTGACTAGAACTTGATTTTACCAACAACAAATAAATTTAGATTTTGTGACACGAAATACTCATTGGTATTGTATGTACGTGGTGCAGTAAAGAAGATTTTTTTTTTTTTTTTTTTTTTTTTTTTTTTTTGGTTTTGGGGGTTTTAACGTCGTTTGAAGGAGAAGGAAAGATCATATTTTTAAGCTTGTGATGGCACTAAAAATTGGACTCATGAAAAAGCTTCTAAAAATAATGTGCATGCATGTACCATAATTTGACTATAAAAATGGTTTAAAAATAATTTTTCTAATAAGAATTTTTTTCTTGTTATTGTTTTTTTTTTAAATCGTTACCAATTTTTTTTTTTAAATCATACCGACAATTTTTGCTAATCATATCATACCAACAATTCGCTTAATACGCATCATGCTGAAGTAACATGTGAACATTAGGAAAAAAAAAAAAAAAGTGCACAGAATAAATTCTACAAAATTTGTTAATTATTGTCTGACCACGGAAAATCATATTTACAATATTTAAATTGTTTTCAATATAAGAAAAAAACAAACAACCCAACCAATCCAAAAAAGAAGGAAAAAGAAAGAGTTTGTTGGCTATTGACTGACCACGGGAAAATCGTATTTTATATTATTTAAATTGTTTTCAATATGGAAACGTAGAAAAAACAAAGAAAAAAAAAAAGAAAAAGTAGGTTGGAGAAGGGTTTTAGGGGGGTTTTAAGCGTAAGCAGCCATTTAAGGTCAAATTTCCTTTCTTCTGCATCAACAACAATTTTAGGCTGACCCTAACTCGCTCTGATCACCCTCACCGAACTCAACGATTCGCACCGCTTCACCGAGTCCGACTCGTCTCCAACCACAGCAAACTTGAACATGTCCGCCTCAGACGCCAAATCCCTAGAAGAATCAAATCAGCCTCTGAATGGCCCAATCGACGCAGAACCACAACAAGAAGAAGAGAAGCCTCGAGAAGATTCCAATTCCTCTGATAAGGTCGCCGATTCCGACAATGGAGGTCAAGAGGAGGAGGAAGAAGGCGAGTGCGGGTTCTGTTTGTTCATGAAAGGGGGCGGGTGCAGAGAGAGCTTCATAGCCTGGGAGAAGTGCATCGAAGAAGCCGAAAAGAACAAGGAAGACATTGTAGAGAAGTGCTTCGAGGTCACCGGCGCTCTGAAGAAGTGTATGGAGGCTCACGCCGACTACTACGAGCCGGTGTTGAGGGCCGAGAAGGCGGCCGAGGCGGAGGTCGTCAAGGAATTGGAGAAAGAAGCGGCGGAGGCCGAAGCGGCGAAGGGACTGGAGAAGAATGATGCGGCTTCGGGAGATTTGGAGCGGCAAGGAGCTTCCAATTCTACTGATAAGTAAACATCTTCAAAGCTTATTGATTTTGTTTCTCTTAATTTAAATACAGATTATTGTTTTACAATTGTGAAAGTTTGTAGCTTGAGCAGTTAATTGGAGGCTTTTGCAAATTTTGGGCCATCTGTTTTGCGGAATATAAAACTGGCCGTTTGAGGCCATGAGATAGGAATAAAGATTCATCATTTTTAAGCTTTTTATTGCCTCAGCTAATTGTTATAAATAATTTGATACTGATAACTTCTTTGGATCAAGCAATTGACAATCGGTATTTTTTTTTTCTTTTGGCTTTATTAGCTTCAATGCTCTGTATTTTCAGGAATATTATTATTCGATCTTGTTACTAAATGCAGTGTTCTTTGTTCCCAAGAGTTGCATGGAGTCTTATTGCTACTAATTTTGTTGGTTTATGTGACTGAGATAGTTTTCTACAATGAAATTTTCCTGAGCACTAGTATTGTTTTGTAAATATTGCTGAATTGAGATACAATTACCTGTCATAAATTATTCAACTTAGTGTATATGTTTATGGTTCTCTATTCACGTTAATCTCATATTTGATGAAATGCCCACCTATTATCTGAGAAGACATACATACCCAACTTATGTTTTACCTCCCAATTGAAATGCTTGAATTACAATACTTTCAAGTTATATCAAGGATCAAGGAGTTAAATGTTGATTTTCAGATTTTAAAGGTTTTACTTATGTAATTGTTCTAACGTTCTAGAAGTATGTTAATTATCAAAGATTTTGGGGTAAATGCATGAATAGGAAGCTCTAGAATTCTGCTCTAGGCATCAAGTATATGTTATAAGATTCAATCTTATAACACCTAGAGATAACAGAAATGAATGGACAAAACTTCCTTGAAAGGGGCTAATTTCTGTCGTGAAACCTATCAGAGACGAGGTAATAATTAATATTAAGGGTGGACAGAGATCTCCAAGATTCAAAAACATTTTGTCACTTAGAATTTCCTCATCAAATACTCTTCATAAGCTACACAGAACTGAAATCCTATGTGACAACTTTTGGTCTAAAGCTCCGATATGGTGACATTGTTGTTGCTCAGCCTTGTGACTCAGATTATCCATTTCGAGGATTATAATTTCAAGAAAATGACATAGGCCATAAAACAGAAACTGCTTTCCAGTTGCAGAAGAGGTGTTACTGAAAAATGTCTGTATGATACCTTTGCAAAATACTTCCCAGAATTTTCTGCACATTGTAGAATAGTCGAAAGGCCATGCTCAAATTCCCTGATGTTTATTTCTTTACTGCCTGCAAATGCCAAGTCAAATTCTGTTTTAAGAAAATGGACCTACAATCTTGAAGGAGAGATTAATCATGCTGCACTATGTAGCTCCACCTTTTTTTAACGAATTTCCGTACTTGCTATGGTAAGCATGACTAACAGCAGCTAGATGCGCTCTACTTCTTTCGCTAAAAATTTTGGTAAAAGTCTTCTCATCAGTCCTTAATCTCTTCTGCGCTGCCTTGAAGAGAGCCTTGGCGGCGTTCTCCGCCGTCAACCTATTGACTTCTGGACCTTCATAACGCAGTGTATGTGCATATGCAAGTAGCAACAACACAAACTATTTATGGATTTATTTCACACTTTTGTGAGGCATGCTAAGACGGGTATTTTTAAGAGGTCAAGTGGACAACGGATTGCCTATCATAAGAATAGAGTGATAGACCAAAGAACAATCAAAGAACTATTATAGATTTCTTGGTACTCTCAACATATTTCTTGTTTTTGTACGTCAACATGTAATCAAATCAGTTTACATTAAGCCAACAAATTACATATTTGTATGGGGTTTCTGTCTATAATGTCACTAAAACTAAATCCTTATTTGATTTATATATGCAAATAAATGTTGGAATTTAAAACAGGATCGAGCATCTTAACAAAAAGTAAACCAGGGAAAAAAAGAAAAAGAAAAAGGAAATGGGAGCTGACCTTCTTGTGATCTCCAGATGCTTGATAGTCTATATCATTCTCAAGGAGAACAGCGAATATCGCGTAATAAGTCTGTTTGAATTGCTGGATTTGTGTTGAAGTACTAGAGCACAATACTTCAGTAGCAGCTTTAAGATCAATAGTATATCACACACTAAGCTCATAATTTTTGATGGGGTGCCTCCCCATTAGCTGAAATGTTTGAATTACCAGACTTCAAGCTATATCAGGGATTGGGATGATTAAAGTGCGGATTATCAGACTAAAAGGTTCCATTTATCTAATTGTGCAGACATTCAAGTACAATCACCTGTCAAGGATTATGGAGTACATATGCATGAACAGGAAGCTTACAAATGTCATTGTGGCGCGATTCTTTTCGTTAGGAGTCGCTTGAATGAGTATGATTGTGGCTTCAAAAAACAACTTAATCATTTTCCTAGGCTTAGAAGAAAATTTGGACAGGATGGCTAGATGAATCTTATTATCCTGGGGTCATCATCAACATGACTTGGTTGTGTTTATCTGTTGTGAGTTGTTGTTAACATGTAAGAATAAGAGCAATAAACTCGCCAACTTGTCACCCAGATTTGAACTTGATGCGGTAGAGAGTTCCACTTCTTCTCAAGCCCGGGCTTGTTTGTCACACAGTTATCTGGGGTTAGGCCAAAAGGTTCGTGCTAAATATTCTCGGATTTGAGGCTTTTATATGCTTTTAATTCGTTATTGAATCTGCTTACATTCCCACATGCCAGAACTAAGTTCCCGACCTCGCGATATTTCGCCGGCCACCATGAAGTTTAAGATGTACGCAAGGACTTCATTTCACGCGCATGAAGGATCTTCCATCAAATGAGGTCATGGATATGGAACAATTATCAGTCATTCCTAGGAAAAAATAAAAAATAAAGAAAACTTTTTGAAGAAGATTTTACATAAATTGTTCTCCCAAGTTTGTGACTATGGAATTGTTGTTCTATCAGTGCTGTTCAATAGCGTTCACTTTTAATAGATTCCTGAATTAGATTAGGTAAGCGAATAGATTGGCACATTGCTTCAGTTTTTTTATTAAGGAGGTTTCTTGTTTTTTGAAGAGGAAATTAGATGTAATTACACTATATAAGAACGCCACGTATTGAATTTACAAAAAAATTCTCTACCCCAAAGAGAGAACAAGAAATAAAAGAATATTATTACTCAAAAGAAAAAAAAAGGGGGGGCAAAATCTAGAGGTGGCACTTCTTGACCATTTGAATTTTCCTGTACTTTCCTCTGTTCCAAAATTCTGCATATCAATTTCCACGGTTTTCTTTATCTGTGGCTATAAAACATAACGTCCTACTCATCTTTGTCCTCTTCTTCATCATAGTTGAATGGTAGAGGCACTGATTTGAAGGCCCTGTATTTGCCCACGTTGTTCAAATGCTCATTCTCCAACCTGATTAATCCCCACAAGCATAACAACACCAAAAGTTACTTCACAAATAAAAAGAAAACAACTAAAAACTTCCATGTTCTAGTTTTGAATGTTTCCGCTTCTTTGCTTACCTGAAGAAGTTCCAAATGCCGCGTCGAATGATCTCGAGGCAAGCAACAATGGTGACCATAGTTTCCCTATGCAAGAAAGACACCTGGAAGTTGAGCACAGTTTGCAGCCAGCAAAATCTCAGCAAGATATTCAGGCCCTGCGGTTTTTCACCAATTATACCAGTAAAAAATCATGCTAGTGTGCGAAAACAAATCAAAGTTTTTTGGCTACAATGTCTTCTGTTAAACTCACAATGGCTCCAAAGTAGACACCGTTATAGGGTATTAGGAGTTTGTCTCTCAACCAGCGGTTCCTAGAGTTGCGCTGCAGAAGCCCCCAGTCAATAAAAAGGTCCCAATATGTACTGAAAATGGCTGCGGAGATTGAGAAGATCCAGGCCACAACTTTCCAACTCATGCCCTTGTCAAGACTGTATGCTGTTCTCACACTAACAGCTACAATCGTCAAGAAATACTTCAGGCCATTGTATCCTTGCATTGGGTCCTTCTCTTCGAACAGACGGCGGAGACACTAGAAAAGGTTTTAAATATATATATATATATATATATATATATGCGTCAAGCAATGTTCACAAGAATAACAGTTTCAAGTGGGGAAAAAAACGTATGTTTATGTGTGTTTCCTTTGTGGAATCGACTTCGGTACCTGAAGGAGACGACACAAATATGGGAGAGCAGCAACAAGGAAAAGGAAAGTTTTGTAGACGCTTTGGGATTTGCAAGTGGTCTCTCTGAGTTTGTAGTCTCCCCAACCATAGTAGCAGATGTAGAATTCCACACTTCTCAAAGCTTGAACCTGAATTATTAAGAATGATTTAGTACTCCCAGTATGAAAAGCCAAAAGAAAAAAAAAAAGAAATTGAAAACAAGGGGAAAGGGGATTGCCTTAAGAGTAACTAACCTGACTAGTAAACTGATCTGCCAAGAAGAAATCTGGGAGTGTCACCTGCAAAAGACCAAAGTTACCACAATTATTAGAATCCCACTAATGAAATTCTTATGGTAAAAAGAAAGACACAAAAGTTCTAATATCAACTGATACCTTGTAAAGAGGAGCAGCAAGACAGTGAAACAAGCACGTGAGGAAGAAGTAACGACTAGAGCGATATACGATGTTGAAAGGGCATATCAGAACGACAAACAAAGACTACAGAGAAAGAAATTATGTAAATGAGAAACATTAGTTGGGGTGTAAGATTTTCAGAACAATAATGGTTTTAATGAAGCTTCAACAAGTTCCGAATAACTTTACCACAAGCAAAAAAAGCGGAACGAGTTCAGTTAGTGCTTTGTAGTCTTTAGTGTTGGGGTCCAATTCCATGTCAAGGTTTGCCAGCACAGCTCCTATTGCCAACGCCGCGATAACAAAGCTTACAAGCAGAACTTGTCTGTAGCCTAACTCCGTTCCTTGCTTGAAACCAAATATGAAGGAATAATTGACTCGATATCGCCTCCAGAAGTAAATGTTTGCTGCATACATAAGAATGTGCAAGACAATGAATCCGAACAGACTGCAAAGGAAGCGTTGCACACGTAAAACACTCGTCAGTTTCATGAAAACTAATGCTGAAGATTTAACGATTCTGAAGAGTAAAATCTCAATTAACCTGTATAGGGGGAACATGGTTTCCATGTACTTTTTCCTTTCTGGTTTGTCCATGATGTTGCCCGCTCGGATGAGCAAAATAAGGGCTAACATAAGAGCGGCAGTGCAGCCAGCAAAGAAACCTGAGGATTTTCCAACAAAGAGATTAGATAAGATAAGTTATATTGTTTAAAAGGACGGTCTGAATTAGACAAAGGAAAAAAAATCAGTAGAAACTATTCTTTACCAGTGGAAAATGTTATTCTATGCCTCTCTCTCTTAGCTTTGGGCCTTAAGACGGTCATGCCTTTACTGCGGTTTGCATTCGAGAAATGCTTGATGAATGTAGCTTCTACTCTCTCCATAAGCTTGGTAACCTATATAATGGAATTTTACATATTAGAATAGAAGGAAACAGAGGCATCTAAATATATTAAACAACTCTTCTGTGAATGCAAATAATTATTTAATTCTCACATCATCAGACCTGCTGAGGTAGGAGTTGTCCACCATGTTCATATAAGATTTAGATGCATCTCTTGAGGTAATCTGCAAGAAAGAGCACAAAAACATATATTATAAGCTACCAAAACTGCTTAAATTGGATCAACATGACTATAAAAAGAACTTATAAATGATGAACAAAGGAGAGTACCTTATCATACTTCTTCATAATCTTTGAAAACGCCAAGGTATTCAAAAAGCTGTAGATTCAAAAGAACAAATTAGTACAAAACATTTGATAAATTGAGATGATAAGACCAACCAAACTGATAAGTACAAACATTAGTTGATTACCTAAAGCTCTTTAGGAGCCGAAGCTTCTGATAAAACTCAACGAAAGCTCGCTTGAGTTGTGCTTCAACTTTCCTCAGATTTTCCCTGTTGAAATTTAGCTCTGTCTGCTTAGGAACATTGAGAACGCCCTTAATGGTGGAACGTGGAGTCTCAATAGTGTTATTCATCGTCACACGGTTTAGTACTTCCAAAGGAGCGGGTCTACTTGCCCTTATGCTCCGTGGCTTCTCTTCTTCAACTTTTTCGCTATTTTTATCATCTTCGCTTGGTTCATCCGATTGCTCTCCGCGATTCGTTGATCCTCCTTCTTCAATCACATCCATAAGAGCAACTTTTCCTGCTCATTACAAACACCACAATAAGCACACAAATTAAGCCGTACATTTTTAAGACTCTGATACCATGGTAGAATTGCGACTTACTGCTAACCCGAACGCTGAGAGGGGTAGAAGCAGATAATGCAGCAGCAGAAGTTGCAATATCCGACGCGAGGCGAGTCATCTCCACCGATCTATCGAACCACCCTGTCGGATTCTCCACCTTTATCCTGAAAGCAATAAGAGCGTCCATCTGCTTGTTCAGCATTGCGGCTTCCTTCATCACCTCCTCCACTTTGGACCTGTAAAACTTGTCCACCTTGTTGAACTCCTCATCCAGCCTCCGAAAGTATACCAGCTCGTACTCCCCGCCCTCCTCCGCCATCATAAAAAACGTCGTCCGGTAGCTCTCGGAGCCGTCCTCATTCACCGAGCTAACGAGAATGGTCTGGCTTTCGATGTCATCTTCGGGGCTAACCGACGACGGAGTGTTTCGGTTTGTGCTGTGCTGGCGGTGGATGAGGCCGCTGAAGGCTCTGTAGAGCGTCGGCCTTCGCTTTAGTCCTGCCGGTAAGGCTGACGATAGCCTTTTCTTTTGCCTGAAGACTTGAATATCTTTCAAAAGGGTTTTCAGAAAATTATAGTTCATGTATGCCTCTTGCCACTCCGGCACCATTTGGCTCGAGAATTCCTTCCCAAACTTCATTTTTTAGGCTCTGCAATTATCTTTACAATTGCATATATACACAGCTTAAAAATATAGCAATTGTACGTACTATATATGCTTCAGTAGTGCTTTAGTTGAGTGTTTTTTTGTGCAAGAAATACTGATCTTCTGATATATATATATATATAACACTAATTAATATTTATTGGCCTAGATCGGTTTCTTGCAGGTTGTTAAAAAAAAAAAAAAAAAGCAACCCAGATGGGGGATTGTTTTGGCTATAGAAACTCCTTTTATACACACGTGTATATGGTGTTTATGAGAGAATTTGGTTTGACTCTTTCTCCCATTCTCTCTCGTGGTTTTCCTGGAAAATTATCCGTGCAAAGAACATACAAAGAATGCAATCAAATTACATGAAGAGCCACCAAGCATGGTACACATTTTTAAGCCAAATCTCAGTTGACAACTTTGAACAGGGATTTTTGGTGTGTTTTTGAAGGGGAAATAAAATTGACATTATGTTATAGGACTTTTTTTTTCCCCCCCGTTGAGATCCACCCATTTATTACGATAAGATTTTGAAAGGCATACAATCAAGAAATATATCTGGACTAACACCCACTATTTTTATTTCAATGATGTGTATAAATGCTTAAAGTGGGTGATGGATACAAAAGATACGTTTCTTCTTTTTTCTTGACAAATATGTTATAATTGTCTAATTCCTTTCTTAATTTGTATTTTTCTCTCAATTTGTGGGCAATGTATGCTAATGTAAATACAGGTACATTTCTCTTGAAAGTTAATGTCGACTAATGGTCATAGCGTTTCACATTACGATGAATTATAATAGCATATGATTCAAGGTATGTTTATGGCCATAATAATTCTTAATTAGAAAAAGTAATATAAAGGCAAATTTGAATGTTTTACGTGTCTGCTTTTGTCGCAGAAAAAAAGTAAAAACGCGACATTGGTTACTGTTTTACTGCTGTTAAACTATAATGCCTTTGGGAGTCGTGTATATCCCTTTTAATTATATTTTCTAAGCTATTCATTATTACCACGCTTGTATATATAAAAAAAAAAAAGCGTCAATATTACCATGCATTTTGGCTTTTAGGTAAAAATATCTTACCAAATATTCCTACAATTTCCCGTCTTCCTCATCCATATGGACGACTTTTCAAACTTAAACACTCATTTCCATTCCAACTGTACCTAACCACACTATTATTGGGGTACCTTTTTGCTTTGAATAATTTAGGAGTGAATTAGAATTATAATATTATAATTAGTTTTAATTTATATGTATTTATTATGAGAAAAAATATTATAATAAATTATGAATCATAATTTAAATCAGGATATGAATTTTCTTATTAAACATCACCTTAATAAATATTTTTTTTGATAAGTACAAAAAAAATAAATTATTTTAAAAAATTGTATTTTTACCCTTAGATTCACATAAAAAACTGTTAAATCTTACTTTTTAATCTCATACGATTTTAATAAGATTTAATAGACCAGCAATTAATCCTACTGATAAATAAGTGAAATACCCTAATTAAGAACTCCCAAAACTTTTGCAGGTCACGTTTGACCAATTTCATTATTTAACCTTGTTTCAAAAAGAAAAGGAAAACAAATTTCTCGAGCTTTCAATGGTGTTAAAACAATTATCAATTAAAAATAGGGTCACTTTTTCAGAAACCCATAGGTTCTTGTTAATATACCGATCTTAAAGCGTGTGATTAATTTAAAATAACAGTTATATAAATTATTTTAAAAAAGAGAAAAAAAGAGAAAAAAACATACAAGAAAAAAAGACAAAAAGAAAAAAAAATCTGAAACAAAAGACAGAAAAATGATTTTAACAAACTTTGTTGTGCTTTTAAAGTAGTACTATTTTGTTTTATTTAATTTATTGTGATTTTATTTTATTTTATTCAAATTATTTATAATATTTTTTTAACTCAGTAGTATTAAAAATTTAGTACAAAATAGTGTTAAAATAAATAAAATCGAACCACAAACTAGTTCAAAATTAATAAATTAATTCAAAGAAGATTAGTACACTAATTTTTTTCCTTATCAGCAAAAAAGAAAAGTAACAAGACATTTCGTTACATCAAACCCTAAAAAACTTATTAAACTTTAGTAATGTGTATCGATATAGATAGATTCCAATAAAGAACCATAATTATTGACTCTCATGCATTTCTTTCATTTTTTTTTTTTTTTTTTTTTGTTTATCGTTTTGGGAAGGGTGTGCTTTTATGTCGCTTTGAATCTGATGTCTTAATCTTCATACAATATATGTCGCTTTGAATCGAATGTCTTAATCTTCCTACAATATGTCGCTTTGAGTTTGATGTCTTAATCTTCCTACAAATTGCCTAGTCAAAATAAGCCTATTTAATAATGTAAAAACACCGAGGCTGGTTCATCCTTCTTTGTATTTTTGTTGTTTTCTTTGACCCTTTATAATATTATTTCCAACTCTTATTGTCACAACTAGAATCACATGTTAACGATATGGTAATAAATACAAAACTCATCAGTAATGTGGCCAGATAATTTCCACCAAAAAACGAAAAACTAACTAGCTAGCCTAACCTTAGTTTCCAAAACTTAATTGACAGTTTTTCTTCTTGTTACTTATATTCCAGTGTTTTCATAACAATTCAATTTAAAAAATAAATACATAAATAAATAAAAACTTGGTAATAAACCGTAAACGTCATCACATAAAAGCTATTTCCATTATAGTGTATCTTGACGAATTCTATTCTGATCATCTTTATATTTTTGACGAATTCTATTCTGATGATCTACACAGACACACATTAATACGTTTTTATTGCTCTGATGAAAAATGTGAACCTAAATTTAGAGTCAACTCTCGTGGTGGGTAATCTTGCGGACAAGATAAACAGTTGTCTCGGCGATGGAAAAAGAAAAGAAGCAAATTAAATGAACTAGAATGTAGAAATAAATGGTATTAATTATAGTTTATAATTAATTATTAGGTGGGGACTGCTAACTAAGGGACCATATTATAGAGAAGGAAAAGAAAGGGTGGCCAATTCTCGACAATAAGAGCCACGTTAGGTTGGACGTTGCAGTATATTTCTGCAACAGAAAACTCGCTTTTGATGCAATATTGGGTCAATATACACATCCGCGCATTTGTAGCTTTTTTTTTTTTTTTTTTTTTTTAATGGTGATTTTGTAGCCTTTAGGCGGCCGCTTTCTTTTGTAAGCTTATGCATATTGTTTTTTGTTTTGTGTTTCTTCTTCCAATATTCAAAGTTGCTACACAATTCCCCTTCAGAGATGGTGGACGACCACGTCTTATATGAAAATGATCATAGAAGCACTAATTGATGCCAAGTGAGATTAGATAAGTAAAAATAAAAATTATATTTTTAAGGGCTTATTTAGTGAAATTAAAAAAAAAAATGTATAATATAAGAAAGAAGGATAAAAATGAAAAAAAAAAGACAAAAAAATATATAAGCAGACAAAAAAAATGAGAATGTGAAAAAGGGTAGGAAAAAAAAAAGAAACAAGAGAAAAAAATGAAAAAGTTTTTAAAAAAGAAAAGAAATAAGAAAAAAAAAACCTTTTTAAAAAGTGAAATTTATTTTTTTTCTTAAGGTTCGTTTAATTAACTGATTTAAGTTTTTAATTTGAATTAAGATGTTATTTTATGTAAAAAAAATTTTATTATAATAAAAAATAAATGTGAATATTTTTTTAAATTTTTTATTATAATAAAATTTAAAGTAGTGAAATGAACAGAAATGTATGAATTATTTCTATTTTTCTCCTGTTGGGAGTGGGATTTACCGCGTCACCCACCAAGAGTTTGTTGACGTGTCGTTTTCATCCTAACCCCTTTGTACGGACATACCATGAGTAGCGAACTAGCGATGTTGTTTAGATCTGACACAGCTATGACTCATCAGTTATCATTGTCAGCAGTACTAGTGTTCACGTGATTGTGCAAAGTTGAGTTCTAAATATTATACGGTTCTCTAGTTACTTTTTACCGTGATCTTTAAGAAGTTTTTTACGCGGCCTTGTATAAAACGCCATTAAGGGTAGAATATTGCTAATAATGTAACAAGAGGAAGTACACACTCGTAAATATATAATTGCATTTCTTATTATAGGATTGATGCTTTTACTTTATTGCTAACTATGGATGTTTAGTTAAGCCAAAGCAACCCCCTAAGAGGCTAGGATATATATATATATATATATATATACTATTTCCTCTTTCAAATACTTTATTTCCTTACTTCTCCCTATAAATAACACAAAGTAGACTATTGTCAGTATTTTGCCGTGTGCTCAAGTTTAAGAGGATGTTTGATTGAAAGATTCAAATTATGTGATTCGAATCATTTTTTATTTACGTGAATTTTTTATACGAGAAAATACTGTAATGAACTATAAATCATGATTCGAATCAGGGAACGAATCTCTCTATTAAATATCCTCTAAATTTACTCGAGTATAAGGTAACACGATATGAAAGCGGAATAATAAGAGAATTTTCTGAGATGTGAAAACGAAAATAATTGGCATAAGCAGCAGCACTTCAATCTTTTCAGCGATCTGACCATAAAATAAATTAGGCATTGGACGTTTATTGATATCAAATGATGACAGTATACACACATATATATATATATATATATATGCATAATTTATGTTATGTTCATCCATTGATATTTATGAGATCATGTTTCATAAAAAGGGAAGCCGACATGACATAAAACCTTCTGTTTTTCCGTGTTCTCTCTTTCTGCTATCCTCTCAATTCTTATCGGACTCGATGACATGTGATGATCAGCTTCTTCTCTCAAGTCTCAATATATTTCCAAAAAATGGCAATGTTCTAACAAACTTTTGCAGCCGTCTAATTTAATGCAGTGCCAATATTTAGGTGAGAGAAGAGATCAGGGACGGCTTACGTTTGCGTATTATATATTTTTCTTCAATATATCTTAGATGGAATAGCAATGTTCATATTTATTGCAAGCTAGCTATAACAGGAATTATAAAATATGAAACAATAACCACCTCTTCTAATGCTTTTATATGGTC